TTGAAAAGATAGCACCACCAAAAAGAAGAAGGCTTTATACTGGCCATAGATTTACATATCTTGTTACTTTTGTTCTATTTGATTAGGTGGGTTTCGCTCTTTGTAACTTCAAGGCAGCCGTATGAGTTGAATGTCATAATTTTACGACATATCTACGGTGACCATATTAACCAACGTAAATTAAAGAACATTTTTTTCCAAAATGATTTCGGAATACGTACATACAACTTGCATAATAAAAATACCTTGCCCATATCGTAATTTAAATCAAATATTACCAGTAATTATATTATTTAATTGTATAGGTTCCCCTGCTGTAGCGAAAAATGAAGCCAAATCCATTTCAAGGACTTCGTCATCCTACATTGCTACGAAAATGCGTTTACCATAATTCATACTGCACGACGAAGCCAGCACACAGTGGTTCAAAATTGGAATTCAATGTTCATGATCTACCGGAGCCTTCATTTTTCAACCAATTTTTACTAAAAACCAAAAAACAATATTTATTTTAGCGACATTTTTTTAATTTCAAAACTTTGTTTGTGTATTTTTTTTGTTTTGAGAGAATCATTTCAATTAGTTTTTGTTATGTAACGTTCATTAACTGGAACAGGAGAATACATTTTCTTGAAAATTGCTACTTTTTCTGCATTTTGCACTAAAAAATCAATTTTAATCAAATAAAAATGCAGAAATCAGGCGCAACTGGTCTCTTGCAAATATTGTAAGCTTTCATAAAAAAAATAATAATTAATCAAATTAAGTGAAAAATGAAGTGAATGAATGCCAGTTTTGAACCACTGTGCAGCAGGGGGTTTATTGTTCTCTTTCCGTGGAACCGGAAACTCAGCATGCAACACGATCCTGGGCACAACTTTCCCTGTGCCTTATAGATTGCACAAAGATTACCGATGAAATAGAAACCCTTAAGTGGGGTGCGAAACAAACTGACGAAAGTTTTCATTATATTTTTTAAGGGACATTTTTATTTTTCATATTCTTTGTTTAAAAATTTACCTCTGTAAAATGCAGAGCCGATTTAAAGGACAGTTTGAGAAATAAAGGACAAAAGGCGTCCTTTATTTTGAAAAAAATTATAAAGGACAGGGTGTTAGAATAAAGGACTGTCCTTTAAAATGAAGGACGGATGGTCACCGTAGATATATCGTTCAGAGTTCTACTGCATTTAGGAGTTTTCTTTGAGCTAGTCAGGGTGTACCATAGTCGCTAATGATAGGTATTGCTGAATGGCTTAAGGTTCCGTTATTCCTTAGCTCGCTCTTTAAAGTCCTGCTGCTACAATAACGGCCACCTTCCGAGCCGATGACTGGAAAACGGTTCCATCGATTTAGTTAATAAGTTTAGGTAGTATTCCGAGTCCATCATGGCAGATATTAAAAAAATAGGTGCTGCCTCCATAAGCGATTTGCGCTCAAAGCATAAGTTAACCTCCATTTCCACTTTTAATTCTAAAAGTGATATCTCGTAAGCTAGACCCAGTGCAATTTCTGTTACAGATGATTAAGGTTTGGAAAACATACCTAGCGCCCTGATAATGTGCCATTGTGTCGCAGTCGCTGGTCAGAGATTGTCCTGGTGGTGACAAGGAAATCATTGTCAGTAATACCTAGCGAGCACCAGGATCAGTTTCCCAAGTCAAGGTGTTGAGTGCTAGATCCAGTCCGGGAACTAAGAGAGATACATTTTTCGAAAGAATCTCTCCAGGTGCAGAAATTTAAAAATCTGATGGGTTCTTGTATGCTTTAGCTCATTTAACCTCTGGTGCAGAAAGGTTTGCTTCGGAGTTGTAAGACTGTCAATTGCCCTTGTCAAAAAAATAAAAAATTGCCAGCAACAGGATTGATTACTCCAGGCAGGATTTCAGTCCAGGCACTGCTAAAAAGTACCTAAGTTAAGGAATTATTCCCAGCACTAAAAGTGATTATCTCAAAGGGAAACTATTATTATGCAGCCAGTCTAGGCTCTAAGAAGATTATCTGTAGAAGGGATTTCCATGCCAGCGCCTATTTTGGCACAGTCGAGAAAATCTCTGTTACGGAAACCTAGCCATGCTCTAGATGGTATAAGGGCATTTTCTAGAGAAATTTCGGCCGGGTTATTGTTCTGAAGAAGGTCATAACATTGCTGAACTCAGAAAGAGACGTTGAAACGAATGTTAGTGGAGAATCGCCAATGGGAGGCAGTGTCATATGAAGGTAATGTTCTCTACTCACGAATTCCTCTACATCGCCGCAGCTATGACAGAAACCATTCCATTCTAGTCCTAGTCTGTTGCCTCGTCGCTCGTTTAACGCCGATCAGTTGTGCTATCCTACACGTAGGCTTTACAGACCATATTCTATTTACATATAGGTTCGATTAAGTTATTTTTCAGAAAAAGTGTGGAAGATGATAGCGGAATATCCGCGGCACTCATCGCAGGTAAGGAGGTTCGTTTTCTTGCCAGTTCATACACCATGTCCTACTAATTTTTTGTTGCCTGACACCCATATCTTAACTAGATATGTGGCGACCGGCTTTCAATGAACTCATTTAGTGCATGTCCTAGATTATCCTTGATGTGTATCTCTAACATCCAGATGGTTTTATCGCTCCCTAACAGCAGAAAAGATAGCAACTGCACGCAGGTCAAGGGAAGAACTCATTTGCCAGCCATCTTACAGCTCCGTTGCTTACTATTTATTTCTGTTAGTTCACCGTGCAGCTGCAGAAATTAAGACAACCGAAAACTTTGGTTAAGCTCTCAGGAGTATAGCGAGCTTCCCATCTTCAATTTTAATGAGAGTCAAAGTTTTATATGACATAAGAATTAGGATACAAGTAGGTTCAAGACTAGGTGACCTTCCCATTCAGCCCTAGAAAGGATTATTCAGTGAAAGTTTTTTCTCATACCAAAAGGCGATACTGTGCAGTATGAGCACCTAAGGTCTCAGTCAGTAAAGGAAAATCTTCTAATTATGTCGGGGTGTCAGAACCACGTATCACACAAATTTACGAAACCATGTATGTAAGTCTAAAGGACGAACGCAAAGTGAACTCCTTAGGGCTTGGGGCAAAGTTTAATTTGCACTTGGGCGAATTTTAAAATTGGCGGCATTTCCAGCGCAGGAAATTGCTGCCCAAAGCTCATAAGTATACATACAAATATAAATTCTATATTCTCTTTACACGCACACAAACAAACACTTTTCTATGTAGATGCTTACACGCTAGGGATGCCGTTTTTAAATCGATTAAATCGAAGATCTATTAATCGAGCCCTTTCGATTCGATTTTTTGTCGATTTATTAGTTCCGATTCGATGCGTGAATTGATAAAAATAATCGAGAATCGACATTAGATTTTTCATCAATTGATGCATATTTATGTACGGTTTGCCCTAGAAAATCTACAAAATTTTTAAGAAAATTGAATTTGAGGCTAGTACAAAAAATGCAGGCCTGGAAACTCCCACCTTTCCAACTTGAGAAAGCAAAGCACAAAGAACTCAATGACCTGCTTCTCTTTCTTCTTCGACTGCAGGACTCATCAGGGAAACTCTATGTAAAGTTGTGGGTAATTCGATGGCCTATAAAACTAAATTCGTGAATGTTTTTCTAACAAGGGTAATTAAGGAGTGAGATTAAGAGATAGAAAAAACAAAGCAATTTAAAACAAAAAAAATTAAATCTGTTTACATAAGCTTTATTGGGCTAGTGTATGTATAACACACTTTTTTTAATTTTTTGTGTTAAAAAACAAAATTTCAAAAAAATTAAGTGCGTCTACGAATACTCATATCGTTGGCTTAATACAGAAAAACATTATCCTACAGTTTTTTTTTAGTCATTTACGGATTGTTAGCTATCTGATAACTTTTGGATAAATGTAGATATTGAAACACATGTTTGTAGTTTCAGTATTGGTCAGATTGCTCTGTATAAAAATTAAGTAAAATATATCAATCGATTTTGGAGAATCGATTTATTTTTTGACGATTTCTTCCTGGATCGATTATTTTTATTTCGATTCGATTCGATTCAAAAATCGATTTGTTTTTATTTCGATCTTGCATCTCTATTACACACACACACGCATATGTTTGTATGCATGCATTTAGCTAAAACGCTTAAACACTTCAATGGACTTTTCTTTGAAATTAATTCAATTGAAATGCCGCCGAATTGAAACTCAATTGAATTGAGGCAACAAGGCATCGAATAAAGTTTTTTTTTTTTGTTTTAGTGAATCGATTTTGCAATATTTTAACCCATTGTTTACACACTTGGCAATTGTGTGTGTTTGCCGAAAAAATTCTTTTGATTTATTGATTTTGTATTTTGCACTGAACACCGAAGAGCAGCAAATACTCGTACGCTACGCAATTCGCAGGATCAAGCAGAATACAAAGATATACGAGTGTATAGTAATAGAAGCAGAGGAAATTAAAGTGGCAGCAAGCAGCGTAAGCAGTACACAATTGGCAAAAAAGAATGAATAAAATAAAAAAGCACACAAATTCTGAATGCGAATGCGAACAAGGAGGTGAATAGCAAAGTCATTCAACTGGTTTGTTGTTGCTTTTGTTTGGAAATTATTTCGTTAAGTATTTGAACAAGAAATTTTCAATTGTTTAGTGGCGCTGAGAAGTCGGGTTGCAAATTGTTTGTTTATACTCGTATACGAGTATGTTGAGCTTGAAAATGGGCGGAAAAGTGGGTTGGTGAGGTGATGCATGTATGCCTACTTGCATAAATTTATGTAGGTACATATGTAACCCAAATATGCTTCTTGAAATGCACTTAAGATTCTGTCCGAATCATTCGAGTTTAGTAAGCTAGCCTTCCAGAAATTTAAATCTATTAATTTGAATTAAAGCAACCACCCCAAAGTTGCCTAGTAACAGTAGAACCTCGTTAGCATAAACCATATTTGAATTCGATTTGCTATTACTAGTTTCTTTGGCTAACAATTCTCTGCCTCATTTTCTATTTCAGATTCCACAGATTCGTTAAACAACCATCAGCTGCATGCTCTGCATAACAACAATAACAATTTAAATAGCCACCACAATCTGAGTAATAACTCTAGTAATGGCAGCAATGGTAGTAACAACAATAACAACAACATTAATATGAGCTCATTGCATCATAGTCATCAATTGGCGCAACGCGACGAATCGCCCACTAATATGGACAATGGCCTCGATGTTGACAATGATGATGATTTTTCGAATAGCTTAAATAACGGACATGATTTGGGTGATATGGAAAGACCGCGAAAAGTTCGAAGGTAAGATTATACTCCAAAGCCTAGAATTTTTTATTGTTATCGTTAGCGCTTCATGACCTTTAGTTCGATCGGGTTTTCAGACACAGTAAGACCGTACCCAGTTTTAAAAACATACGTATGTAGATGTACATATGTTTTTGCCGGATCCTGTAGTCTTTTCTTTACATAGATTAACATCCCTCCTCTTCCTAGCTTTTGTTCAAATCGCGTTTTCTGCCACCTTATAATTTCTTCGTGTTTCAGAACCTTTTGTAAAGCAATAATGGGTAGAAACCAGGATCAGGTAATGCCTCTGTAGGTTACTAATTTATTTTTTCTTTATTCTCATTTCCTTCTTTAACATTTTATTCATTTGGTACCAGTATGCAATCCTCATCCGCAGCAAAAGCTGCTTGACTCTTAAAACTTTAAAACAAGATCTCGCTATGTAATCTCTGAAACGGTAAGTTTTTGCTGTGAACTCTACGCCGTTTGACTTTAGCAGCGGCACATAAAAAGATAACACGAATCGAATACTTTCTTTGGGACTTGAGGTCTTCAAGATGTTGAAAGCTTTAAAAATGCTGTAAGTTTTCCACTTTCCTGGCTTCGGTGGTACCCGAATCAACATACTTCGATGGACTTCCAACGAGCCTGCGTTAATGCTAACCACCAGAAAAGGGTCTCTTACACTGTTTGAAGTCGGTCCACCTCTGATAAATGAATAAATACCCCATTTGCTTGTATTCAGTCATTCGCTCTGGATAATGATACCTCGTAGAAACTCGTTTCGTTTCTGCCACTGCTTCCATCCGCTATCGTTTTAGTCAGCTACACTCGAAATCTATTGATTTAGTCTGCCACACTCGAAAAAGCTAATTGTATTTGTCCCATTGTATCTTCATGATACCATTATCAATAGCCTTCTATATGTAACTGCACCTTGGGCAACGAAAATTTACATTTGTCTGAATATATCTCAACCAGAATAGCCTCTGCAGTCACTCTTTCTAAAGTCGTCGAGACAAACAATTGGGTTTCATCCGACATTGAGGTCCAGCATGCTGGCAGTTAGAACGACCTTGCATATCCGATTCCGATACTGAGACCATTATTTTCTTTACCGTGCGACTCTTGCCTTCCGCTTGCACAAACGCTTGGTTGGCAACGGAAGAGAATTCCAGAAATGATGAGCTATCACCCGGCCAAACAATTTTGAAAGCTCTTCTTGACCAGATACGCGACTTTCCTTTCCTTCTCCGATTTTTTGTTATTATAATATTCGTCTGGAAGAATAAGAAGGACCCCACCTATCATCTCTACTTCTTTCACAATCTGGGTTGTGTGTTTCAGCCTGCTTTGATAGTAGTGTACCGTACATCTAAGTTATTGGCAAGTTTTGCCATTTTGATTCCACAACTCGTGCAACCTACAGAAATTTGGCGGCATTGATGAATTTCAGTACGCCATACAGAGAGAGTTGGCTACACTCTGAAATATTCTGCAGGAATGGTTTGCTGAGTCATCCTTGCGGGGGCTGAGCATTTTCGCAGCTGCGGCACAACCTATTGAATGGCAAGTCAAGTCTTTTGGCATGTACATCAACGGGCCAGTGCCGCGTTCAGGCTGCCGTGAGATTGTGGTTATTTTCTTTGCTCATTCCTAAAAGAGCGCTGATTTTAAGTGGTTCGTAGGACACCCAGAATTTCCGAGTAATCCTATACGATCCTATAGCGTTCCATCTCTGTCTAGCCTTCGAATAATAAATTTCGGTAATTCTGCCCTCGTTCTCCCTAAGTGAGGCACCCATGTCTACCGCGTGAGGCACATTCAGTGCGAAAGCGTTACATCACTAGCTCTTCCGGTGTTTCCTTTCCGTAAATGTCCCTTTGCCCGGGGACCATATTAGGGTAATTTCATATTGATCAGAAATAAAGGCCAGCTCTCTTCCAAAGTCATCCACTAGTTAAGATCTAACAGAGAAAATTATAGCCACATGGCTATTTAAGAAGATATTTTAGTAGGTGAAAATATTGCTTTAGGTTATATTAATTAATGAGAACCTCTGCATCAACCCCAAATTCCATATTTGATCCATCCGTAAATACAGTCTAGCCCTCCAAGAACTTAACCCTTCCTTGAGGCCTGCTACTGCGGCTGGGAAATTTCGTGCATGGTTTTTGATGAACCTAGGCCTTCGATAGGCAGCGATTTAATTTCAGGCCGTGATGCGTATAGTATGGATTTATGCCCGAATGATCTTTTCTTCCAGAGCTCCAAGGTACGCAGCTTTATAGTTACTTTCAAATATCTTATTTTGGTGAAGCTTTTTGGTTAGGGGAGTCATAAGTACGTGATGCTTTGAACGAGGGATTGTTTTTCGGCTCCAAATATGTATTTCCTTTGATTTGAATATCTATACTTTGTTCCGGGTTTTAGTTATATGTCGAGGCTCTCAAAATAGGCTTTTATTTTAGCGAGGAAAAGTTGATGTAGTAATATTTGCGGCTAATTACTTCTCCTTTTGTCAAGGCAATAATAAAACTGTCAACGTATCCTTGTGGTACCGACTTCCCCGATTGCTGCTTTACAGTATTTTGTGGTGGATCTATGCTTCGTCGGCCGTTATGAAATGATGCTGAAATTCATTTGAGTTGCGAATAAACAACTCCAATTGCTTTTGTGACCAATGACGACGACAAGAGCAATACCTACTTGCCGACATCGTTCTCACATCCAGTTGTGAGCAGTCGGACCAATCGGGCTTGCAGAACATTCGACATATTTTGTACTTTCACTTTGGAAATTAGATAATCAACTTCCATAAAGCACTTATGTGTCAAACTTATACATACATAGTTAGTTTCATTGTTGGTTTTTCCAAAAAATACTCTTCTAGCTTTCCATGATTCATTGTAGTCGTAAATATCTTAAAGCCAATGACATTTCCAAAGTAAAGTTATGCTTTCCAACAGGGAAATGATAAACGATTAACAATGTGGTTGTTCACGCTTGCCTGGTTATCAGGTTATTTGGTTAAAAATAATTTTTGTGTAGTGTATTTTATATCTTTCCGATGGCAAATTCCTTTCTAAGCAAATCGTGGTTTCTTCCTTGTGATCGGTACGAACCGGACCGTAAGTAGGATTCCCCAAACATGTACTAAGTGGAGGTTATGTTACCCTCTTTCTATAAAATCAGTCATCGTCACTGCAAAGCAAAATGTTTATTTCCGCCAATTTGTTATCCCCAAATTTAAATCCGCTTAGCAAAAATATGTAAAAAAATAAAAAAAACAAAAGAAATGGCATTAAATGTAACTTCTGCGCAAATCGCGGAAGCGGCTTCTTTCATTCATTGCGCATAATTCGCTTACTCAATAAGTTTATTTATTTGATTTTGAACAATTGAAAACAAAAACTTTGATTTCTTTTATTTATTCACAATTCGTTACAGATCACGCACAACATTTACAACATTTCAATTGCATCAATTGGAGCGCGCCTTCGAGAAGACTCAATACCCTGACGTTTTCACAAGGGAAGATTTGGCGATGCGTTTGGATTTGAGTGAAGCACGTGTACAGGTAAATACATAAATAGACAACAAATTGCGATTTTATTGTCTAGTATATGTATGAATGTGTAGTATATTTGTATGCACTAGCTACATACATATGTACATATTCGCTTGCTACTGCAGCTAGAAAATTGTTATCTGATTTTGTAATTACTTACGGATTAGCGCATTTTTGCAACTATCATTGGCAGCTGCAATGCGGGGTTACTTTTTTTCTAACATATATATGTATACATATGCACATACATAAATGTATCTGTTCGTTTGAGATATATTTTTTTAATATCAAGTTGCGTTTAGATGTTCCCATGACGATTGTAGCGAATTAGAACTTTTAATATTATGGACAACCTATAATGGGCGTATTAATGGTGTAATTGTCTGTTCACGTGAGTCAATTTGATTGTAAGTGGATGATGAGATACTTAAGCGTTTATGCGTGTTCGAAAGGATGCGAATAGAAGCATTCTTAATCGTTTTTGGAATTCTAATCGAATACTCGCGTTTGTTTTGGCGTGATGATAGAGCTGGTACAAATTTCTTCAATGCTTTTTTATTAGCGGTGGGTGATTCCATAGATTTTTTTTTTATAAAAATATACAAACTGTTTTTATATATATTTTTTTCTCATTTGAGCAAAGCAATGCCTTTTTGTTTTCTTCAAATCTATGTATATATACAATTTAATCTCCAATATTTGAAAAACTAGAGCTGATATATTTTGCTTCGTAGAAGTCAAAATTTATATCTGAAGAATTATTTAGGTATGATTTTATCCAAGCTTAAAAAAATATAACAAAAATGAACTAAAAAGCAAAAAAAAAAGCAAATTATCAAATATTTTTTTTTGCTTTTCAGTTCATTTGTATTATATTTTTTAAACTACATAAATTTATTTTTTTTGGGAAAAAGCTTTAAGTCAAGCAACTGTACAGTAATTTTTTTATGAAAGTAAAATTGAATGTTCAGCGCAAATAATGCTTTTTGAATTCTTTTCATAGGTATACTATGAGATGTTGGTAAAAAAATTCAATTTATTAAAAAATATGATTTTTTATAAAACAAGAACCGAAATTTTACAAACTGACCACTTTATTTTGTTGTCCAATTAGTTCTCTAGCTGCTGTCAAAAAATCATAAGATTCGAATAAAAATGGTTGCTGAAATATTTCAAAAAGTGTAAAAGCCTGCTTATAAATTTGTTTGCAAATAACTCGTCAAAAGAATAAAATTATCGCAAAATCTTTGGTGTAAATAATGCATACCATGTTAACTTTCAAAATCGGTCAATGAAATATAAAAAATCGAAAAATTAACTTTGGGTAGCCCAGTTGAGAAAACTTGGCTCATTATAAACAGAAAAACACGCTGAAAAGGTACTCTCAACTCCAAGCCGATATTCTAAGTGCTACATATCTGTAAACGTTTTTTTTTATAATTTCTATGTTTTTGTATGAAAAATGTCATATACATATGTATGTTGTTTCAACATGGTTCGGCACACGAAAGACAAGTGTTGAGTTAAGATGTTTTGAACAGGTACCGCAACGGTTATGATCTGTATAATAATATTCACCCAGGAATCTTGAAATGACCTTGGTATGACCTCTAGATGACCTTGAAGAATCAAGCGATCCCGATGTTCGGATTAATCGAAAACAAAAACCTATGTATGTATATGAATTTTTATATTTATTCGATGAAGTTTTCCCTATCTGACCCTCAAATGACACACTATGGAGGTTAATGGACCTCTTATTCGGGTGTAGCGAGGAAAAACCCCATATATGTACATACGTATATGAATTTTCAGGTTTATGCAATGAATCTTTCGTTATTTGACCACCAAATGAACTCGAACCCGAAGTGATGGAAATTAACATACCTCGGATTCTCATTCAGGGCGCTGAATAAAATAGGGATATAGATGTTTGGTTCAGAAACTGTGTTATTCTTTTTCGAACAAATAATAAATCCTTATATTTAATAGTTAATTTCGGTCCCTGATTTCGAAAGGTCATAAAAGAGAACAAACTTTATAATTATTTGGAAAAGGAAAACTGTGTTTTTAATATTCATTTAGAAGTGCTGGTAATATACATACATACCATTCCATTTGCACATTTGAGTGCATAGGTAAATAATCTCTTATTATATTAATTCCAATTTAATTGGTTATAATAATGTTGAGTAAATATTGATGTTTAATTGCGAAATGACTTTTGTTTATTATTTTTGCAACATAATTTTCACATTAATAGGCCAATTAGCAGCAATTAAATATGTATGGGTGAAAAAGAATGTGATGCATAGAGTACACCAGCATTGGAATGGAATGAAATGAAATGAAATGGTAGCAACAGCAGCAACGACAGCCAATTATGTTGCTGATTATGCAAATTAAAATTGCAACAATTGTAATAATCAAGCATATTGATGTGCATGAGTGTGTAATAGTACCCACAAATGCGAGTGTGAGTGCTGAGTTGAACTGCACATTGAAATGAAAATGAATCAAGGATTGTTGTCGTCACTGTGGCGATTTACATGGCTTCTATTGAAGGGAGTAGTAGTGATCTCTAGTATGTGTGTATGTGTTTGATTATTTGAGTAATTTGCATAAGAATACCGTCAAGTAGCGACTTATTGTTGTTGCCGCCGCTGCTGCACAACCAATTACATATATCCTGCACGCGCCGTTCGCTATGCTACATTCTTATGTGTGTATGTATGTATGTCCGTACATGGTTTTGTGCTTATCCATTGCCATTGTCGATAGCTTACCATTTCGACCGATGAGAATTTAATTTACTGGCAATTTGGTGTTTTGTCGTGGTTGCTGGTAGAACAAATTGGTGCAGCAGTAAATTTTATAAATAGCGTTAAAACACTTTAAATCGTTTTGTGTATACAAAACATTTGTTGTCATTGAATTAAGTTTTTGGGGTGGGAAGCGCCAGCAAATGCGCCTGCATGTATACTATGATGAAGTGCAGTCAACGAGAAAGGGGTGCGACTTATTTTACGTTTCTCATTGCCTTTCGTTAATGCTGCGATGAGCTGTTAAGGCTGCTGTTACATTGGATGCGAATTCGTACAAAAACTCAATAGTACGAATTCGTATGAAATTCTTTGTTGCCCAAACGTGGTACTGGTTGGCCAATAAGAATAACGACCGTTTTCGTTATAATTACTTGCAAGCAAAGTAACCAACCTGTACCACGATTTCGCAAAAAAAAAAAA